TTATCTTTATCTGTTATCATTTCCCTGCCTGTCTCAACTCTCTGCTCCAAGGGTATTAACAATTTTTTGTTTCCCAAAACATGGAATGTAATGATCTTTCTTTTTTATTATTATTAATTCTACTGATATACTTTAGGTATACAATATAATAATATTCATCACTGGAAATTTGTACATAGATTCTTATTTTTGCCCATTCCTCTGCCCTCCCTTTAATCCCTCCAAACCTATTTACAAGGGCTTTGTTTTTATTTTTCCTTTTCTCATATTAATTCCATTCCTTACTTTCCTTTCCCCAACCCCTCCCACTTCCCCTTCCCCTTTGGATCTTTTCTTCCTATTTCACATTATTATTCCTTTAGATCCTTACGTATACTTTCAGTTTCTCACTCCAGATAAACTATTTGGTACTTACACATATATGTCCTATTTATTTCACTTAAGAGTATCACCTCAATGTGCATACATTTAGCTATAAATGTCTAATTTCTCATTCTTTATGGCTGAGTGGTACTTCATTTTATTAAAAAAAACCACACATTTTCTTTATACAATCTCCAGCTGATCAGCAACTGGGCTGTTTCCAAGTTTTAGATATTACAAATGGTGCTGCTACCAATATGGGTGCACATATATCATATCACTGTGGTATGATTTTTGTAATTCTTTTGGAAAGATATCAAGCAGGGAAATACCAGGGTCAAATAGGACCTCTAATCCTAGTTCTTTGAGGTAGCTCTGTGTTGATTTCCATAGTGGTTCCACCATCAGTGGAGAAGAGTTCCATTTTCCCCACAGCCCTGCCAGCATTTGTTATTGGTTGATTTCATGATAGCAGCCAGTCTTTCTGGGGTGAGGTACAATCTCAGTGTTGTTTTCAGTTCCATCTCTTAAATGACCAGTGATGCTGAACACTTTTTCATATTTATTTACTATTTCTATTTGATTAGATTATCTTTCTGTTGCTTCCTTTCCAGTCTTACTGGGTTCATTCAGAAGAGCTTTTCCTGCACCGACAGTTATGCTGGCTCTAAAGAAAAGTGGCAAACGAAGTATATACATGATTTATGCCCTTATAAAATTTACTCTGTAATGAGAGGAGCAGTCACTGTTTAAAGACTGCTAATGATCACCCATTTGGACATTAGGACTCTCTTCCTGAGCCACATCTCCTACGAAGCTGTTCTTGATGTTTCCCAAGCAGAGTGAATCACTCTGTGTATTCATATGAAAAAGCCTTTATAATGCAACTGTACTTGTTCCAACAATGCATTTACATGCTACAATCTATAGTAGATTGTGCATTCCCCTTGGATAAAGAATGTATCTCTTTTTTCAGTGGCTTTAGCATTAAGCAGAGTTCCCTGGCTAAATTGGTCTTAATGGAAACACTGTCAGTCACTATCTGGTTGTACTGGCTAACAGATTCCTAAACTTAAATTTGTGTGAAGTCAATTCTCTAATTTATTTGAGTTACTAGGTTGGGAGAAGATTTTAAATAGCTACAGTGGGAGGAGTATAATCACATCAGCATTTAAAAATCACTTTTAACCAACGAAGTAAAAACTGTAACAATGTAAAACCTTTTTCTCTCTGGGCTGGGGATTTGGCACAGTGGCACCGCTGCCTACTTTGTAAGTGTAAGGTCCCAAGTTCCATGCCTGGTACCAACAACAAAAACAAACAAACAAAACCTTTATCTCTCTATGCTATATTTCTATTTTATATATTTAATTTTGATAAAATTTCTTCTATTTAAAACTGAATAAATAAATGCTTTTTAAAATGTCTTCAAGTCTTTGGTGAATTTGGTTTACTAGAAAGTTTACCAAACTATTATCATTTAAAATTATTTAGAAATAAGGATTGAAACTGTCAGCAGAATAATTTTGGCTCTCACTTTCCTTGGTCTTGCTGTTGATACTGGATATATCTTAATAAGTAAGACAAAACTTTCCTGTTTTTCTGTGAATCACATTACCAAATTTTGTAGTACTATTTGCATATCTTAATAATAATGCTTTTCTTCTCTAACAGGAATATTTTCTCAAATGAAGGCCAGGAAATTATCAACTTATTTCTCCTTGACAGTCAATTCTAATATTATCAATTAATAATATATACCTTTATCAAGCTAGAGAACTTTTAATCAAAAATACACCAATATTTCTTTTCCAGTAAAACTAAGAGTACAAAAGAATCCCAACTTAAGGACCATATGTAATTTATGAAATGAGTCATCTATGTTAGACAGAAATCCTTGTAGATTGAGTACATGCTTTGGCTATTCAGCAACAAGCTTCCCTTTGAAATACAATGTTCCATTCTAACTGAGCTCCTCCCTCAGTCACTCTGGGTTCCTGCTTTGTTCTTTCAGTTCCCTGCTAGGAGGAGCCTGGAGTCTTTCACTGACGTGACAGCCCCTTTCTTCAGGTGCTGCCATCTCGGCTATTTGCCAGCTTGTTACTCTTCTATTTCAAAAAGCATAACCCATTCCCTTCTCAGCTCCCACTCCTATCTATGGATCTTTACTGGCTTTCCCTGCACATTCACTCAAGCCTCTCATATATTAACATCAACCCGAATTGGACTTAGGGGATTCCTGTCTCCTCAGACACTGGGCCTAGATTCTGGCCTGGTGATCTCTTACTTGGAGAACTAGCTTTTTAATAGTCATTGTATAGTTGACTTCCTTTCCCTGGCTCCACTTATTTCTGGCTTCTTCTTCCATTCTACCCTCATAGCAGAGCCCGTTAAGGCTATGGCTAGAAATATGAATTGACTGGAAAGACTTGTAGGAAACACCTGTAATCCCAGAACTCAGAAGGCTGAGACAGGAGGATTATTGCCACTTTGCGGCCAGCCCGGGCTACATGGTGAGATCCTGTCTCTCTCAAAACAAACAAACACTTCTAGGAAGGAACTGTTGTTTTGTTCATTGATTTATCCCAAACTCCTAAAATAGCTATTGTCATATGGTAAGCAATCAATGGATGAAATTAGAATTTGGTTTCCAAAGCTAATAGTAGCACATTTGGTTGATTTTTCAGAGAAAACTTAATGTTAAGAATAATAATTCTTGCATATTTACCATGGGCAACACATACTTTAGACACATTTACATCTCAGGCAATTGTTCTAACAATTTTATGAAGTTGGTGACATCCTGAGGATTTGAAGATGCTGCACAAGTAAGCAAAGTCCAAATTTGAATTCGATCTCTGACAAAAAAGCTCTCTCAGTTTATGTTCTTAACTACCCTTTGCGGTGCTAACATGGCTCAACAATGATTCCTCAGCCCTTAACCTAAAGTGAAACTATTAGCCAAGAGCACATCAGAAAACAGATGGTACAGATTATTGTTTGCTCTCAGCAACCAACACCCTAAGATGGCTGCTCAGGTTACTATTACCAACAACTAAAGGCACTCAATAGTGTTATTTATATCATCATTTATGTGAAGACCAATACTTTACAAACCCAACAAATCTACACGTTATTGATCTATTAGAAAATAAATGTATAAATCTCATGATGTATATTTTACAAAATTAGTGTTCTATAATTTGAATAAAGACAGTGAAAGAAAAATATAGTAAGTAACATTAAAGCGCACTAAGTGATTAGTACAGACCAACTATGTTGTCTGTCTCCACTGAAGATCTCAGAGGAAATATTTCACAGTACAGCAAGAGGATATTAAGATTGACAAGGAAGAACTCTGCAGCTGTGAAATGTATTCAATATGCGATAAGGTTGTATTAAGTAAGGTTGCTCAATCTCTAACCCTTAGAGATCTTTAAAAAGAAAAACAGCAAACAGACATTTTGGATGGCTTCATCTAAAGCCCAAATAAATGAAGAGCTGAGGTCTTCAATTTCTATTTCCAAGTGTGATATAATTCTGTAAATTTGACCTTCTGAGGTTTACCACAAAATTTCATGACTTTTTTTTTTTTAACTAGAAAATGGTTCTCTGAAGTAAAAAGTTAAAAGAACTCTGTCTTCTTCCCTAACTTCTTTCCAACAAACATGTACTGCATACATTAGAGATGTAACGCTGAAGAAAATATGATTACTATCTTGAGGGGCACACAATTGAATGCAGGAGACAGACGTAAATAAAAAGTATGACAGAGAAAGTGATACTAGTTAAGACTAATATGGAAACTACTGGGGGAAGCAGATACAAATGTTTAAAAATAATTGTTCATTCTCAGGCAATGTGCTATGCCTGGGGGAGTAAGTGAGGAATCCCGGTCCTCAGAAAGCATATAATCACTAGCCACATGTGACTATCAAGCATTTGAAACATGCCAACTCAAGCTGAAATATGCATGTTCATGTGTTAAAATATACAAAGGATGCTGAAAAATTATATAATAAAAACATAAAATAGTAAATTTCATACTAATGTTAAAAAGATAATTTTTCAGCCAGGTGTGGTGGTGCACGCCTATAATCCCAGCACTCGGGAGGCTGAGGCAGGAGGATTGCTGTGAGTTTGAGACCAGCCTGGGCTACATAGTGAGTTCCAGGTCAGTCTCAACTACATAGTGAGACCCTGTCTCAACCCCCCCAAAAGATAATTTTTCATATATTGAATTAATACACTATATTAAAAGTAATTTTATTTGTTTTGCACATTTTAATATTGCTGCAGAAAATTCCAAATTACATTTTGATACATACTGCATAAACATTAGACACAGCTAATAGAATAAATTAACATAGAAATGTGTCATACTATCTTCAAGTTTTATAATAGGATTGTACAGAGAAGACTATAAAATAGCTTACTTTAGGAGTGCTGCTATCTCTTATGCATCAAAATGTGAAAAAAAATCAGAATCAGAAAGTATTATGTAAGTCTTACATTAAATATCAACTTTTTTTTTTTTTATACCAGGGATTAAATTCAGGACCTGCACTTGCCAGGCAGGCATGGTACCACTGAACTACATCCTGGCCCTCAACTTTTTTTTTTGGTACTGAGGATCGAATGCAGGACCTTGTGCTTATAAGGCAGGTGGCGGAAACACTGAGCTAAATCCCCAGTGCCCCCCTGAACTTCATTAAACAGGTATGTGTTAAGTGTGATATTTACTATGATGTAAAGTCTTTAATCATTTTTTATAACAGAGGTTTATTATAAAAGCATATCTGCTCTGAATCATTCTGAAAATATACCAACAATTACTAAATACATTGTTATATGTCCTAAAATTTATGACTATGGAAATATAAAAACCAAATCATACTATGTTATTAAGTATTGTGACTATTTCTTTCAAAAATAGAATGCTATATATGTTCAATTATAAGGTATTCCCCTAAATTTGTCATTATAAATATTATAATGAACTAAAAACATGTGTTTCATGTCATTTTTGATTACTACCTTGAGATAAAGCCCTAAGAAATGAATTGCTGTTTCAATAAGTAAACATTTTTATAAGATGTGCAGTATATTTTAATAATTTAAATGCAGAATACTGGTATTAATTTAGACCTCTGGCCAAGAGCATAGGAATGTATTACTAACTAATAATGGAAAAAGATTAAAAATCCTCCATTTGCTAAGTATAAAATTGTAGGTCATTGTTTTAAAATTTCATATCATTTTCATGTGTTTAATGAAAATTAACCTGCTTATATTCTAATTTAACTGCTCATGTCTTTTGCTCATTTTTGAATTTGCTCATTTTTTGATGTTCTGTGAAAGCTTTTTGCATATATCTTAGAATATAAAAATTCAGTTTACCAGATATATTTCAAACCTTTTCCTCCAGGTTTCTTGCTTGTCAGTTAACTGTTGTATGGAATATTGTCTCAAAATAAAAGGCAAAGGGTTTTAAAAATTCAAGAAGGTCTTGATAACATTACTGTACATTAAGGAATTTTTCTGAATCATTTTAGGATTAGAAAGTAATAATCATTTTCCATTTGGGCAAATTAATAACTAATGAAACAGTAGACTGTTTTATTAGGATTCTCCATCTTGTTGTGAGGTGTGAAACTTTACTCCTCTGCCCCAACCCAGTCTTTCTATTGATAACTAGCTGTTTGAACATCACACATGAAAATATTTCTTCACTTATTAAAATATCACTCCTATTGTTTTTCAAATCTTTACCAACATGTCTGTCTCTTGATATATTCTATTTCCACCAATATTTTTGCAGATTTATATGCCTGTACATTATTACTTTAATTACTATAGCTTTATAAAATGCTTTAATATTTTTCTTTGATTTTTGATGTTTTCTTCATTTTGTAGTACATTACTTTTCCACATATATTTTAGAATCACTTTGAGAGTGTCAAAGCCAAAATTTCATTGGATAAAAAGTGCATTAAACATATATCCTACCCTGCACTGCTCCACTGGAGCTGTAACAATGTGAAAGTGCACGCTTAGACAGCCAACACCACGAGGGTGATGATGGGCCCGGACTGCATTCTTCTGATTTTCATTAATTCCCAAATGTGAATGTGAAAACAGCACATTACTAGTGAGACTAAAGGAAAAAGACTATAATCATAAATTGATATTAAAGTGTTTATTATGAATACTTTATTTAGAGGAAAGCTTATTTTATGTTCTCAGAACTGACAACTGTAAATACTTATAGATATTTGTAATATACCAAAATCATGACAGGGAAAAAATATACTTTGAGGATCTCAACATTTAAAGAGCACTATTTCATGATTACAAAAATATTCACAGTAATTCTCATAAAAAAGTCTGTAGACCACACAAAACTATGTTAAAGATTTGCATGGCCAAGAATTTGATAGGGAAAGACAGGATAAAGAAAATAATTCATGCAAGATAAATTTAACCTTCAATACTGAAGCCATTTTTATATTCTCATCAATTTAAACACTAAATCAGAGACCTATAAATCTTACGGTACAGTTTCTCTTTTGTTTGGTACCGAGGATTGATCTCGGGTCCTTGCGCTTGCAAGGTAGGCCGCCGAACCACTGAGCTAACTCCCCAGCCCTGGTACAGTTTCAATAAAAGCGGGGAAAGTGTAAACGAAACACAGATGAAGCAGTACTGTAGGAAAAAACAAGAGATGAAACAGCTGGCTGCATAAACAGGTACTTCATCCTGCTGGCTGTGACCCCTCGTGACAGATAAATTGATTAATAATTCATTCCCACAGCAAATGCATGAACAACCTGCTTGTTTTACAGCTCCCTGACACTAGCATATATACAAAATAACAAGAGACTGGTACCATGCACGAATTACTGCAGTCTCTGTACCTCTGGCTTGTCATAAGTTTGTACTACAACTATGTATTCAATGAGTAATGATGGAATCTAATGAAGTATTTATTAATTTAGGTACATTACAAATAAAGATTAAAAGTTGAAAAGAGGAAGAGAAAAAGTTGTCAAAATATAAATTAGAATTTCCAATAATTATGAAGAATAACAATGATAGGATATGTGCATTGATTTCAGGGGCCAGCTTTTGAACATATAGGTTGATTCTAGGTCCCTACTAAATGTAAACATTAAGTTTGAATATAAAAACATCAGTGATATTTTCACTTTTTATGATTCTAAATGTAGTAAATTAGGAATAACTTTCTTAAAAGTTATTGATTATTCTTTTAAAATAAAAATGAACTGGACATGATGGTATGAGCCTGAAATCCCAGAATTCTGGGAGGTTGAGGCAAGAGAATTGTAAGTTCAAGCCTAGGCTGCAGTGACTTACTGAAACTCTGTGTCAAAATAGAAAAACATAAATAAAGGGAGGATGGGGATATAGTTCAGTGCAAAGGGTTCAAACCCAGTAGTTGAAAGAAAAAGTAAACAGAGTTGAAACATTCTTTGTTTAAACAGTGTTAAACATTAACACTGGTAATTTATTCTTATTTTGGGTAATACAGACATACTGCAATACATAAACTATGTATTCCAACGTAGCAGTGGTGTAGATGATCCCTACAGCTCGACAGTTTTAAAGTAATTTATATTTGGACTTTTATTTTTCACTATAGATATGTGACAACATCCTATTGTTTCCCCAAAATAATTCTACATTGAAAGATAATCCATGATTAGATGAAAATACATGTAATAAATGACAACAAATATTTAAAACATTGTGAAAAATGATCTCAGAAATTTCCCAACCAAGAAAATAGCAGTCATTAATAGGTGTGTGTACATGTGCGTGTGCATGTGGTTGTGCGTGTTGTAAATCTGTGCTTTCCTGGAAGGCTAAGAGGCTACCACAGCCTTTTCTGCTTGTGGGTGAACGCCACAGTAATTTTTCAAACATTGCCTGGAAACGTGTTCTCTCCAATCTTCACACAGCTAACTCCTCCTTGTTCAATTCCAGCCGAAATGTGGACTTCATGGAAGTCTTGCCTGACTCTCCACGTAAGGAAACTCCCCATCCCACTTCCATTAATTTATTCTTGTCACACCATCTGGCTTGCTTCCACCATGGCATTAATCACAACGAGTGAGTAATTATTTGTTTCTTTATCTTTTTATCTGCTTCCTCTACCTATTCATAGCTATACAATGACAAGGAGGGATACAGTCAGTACCCAGTGCTGTTATACAAAATAATCCAATAAGTATCTGGTAAATGAATATAAGAGAGTAGAGATTAGGTCTGACAATGTGTGCCTTTATTTGCTGTACGCTCAGATCTCAGAGGGGATAAAAGAATAAATTCTTATTCAATAATTAAGCCCTTCCTATAAAATTTTTTAATTTATCAATTTATTTTAATGAAAGTAGCCCACAAAATGAAGATTTCAAACTCCTTTTCTTCCATGTATCTTCTGTGTAGTGGATCCGTATATAGTGGATAAGGAGAATAAGTAAATAGAAGATGAAACCTAGGGGTGTTGCTCCTGCTGCTTCAGGACTTCCAAGAAGAATAGTAGACACACATCTTAAAGACATCCTAAGACAGCAAACTGCAAGGTCCTAACCTCCATGCACACATAAGATGAGGTGTAGGTGACTAGATGAACAGGTGAAAGGAGGAGGAAGGTAAGCATCCTGAGTCTAAGCAGCAATCTCAGACCACAATATGAGTGTTTAGGGATATTTTTCTCTAGTTTAAAAACAACAACTACAATTATTTCCAACATGTAACTGCAGTTATCCATAGAGCATCCAAGAAGGTCAGGGAATCAGACTGAAAGTATGGTTTCTGGAACCAATCCAATTACTGGCTGCATCAGAAAACAGAATATAAAAGAAACAAAAAGACAAGACTGGGTGGGGAAAAACAGCTGTATATACAAAGACATAGCACTAAGGAAAGAATGATCCACTACCCTCCCCCGCACCATGCAAGAGTCTCAGCCTTCACTGCTTTATCATTTCTGACAAGTCAGAAAAACAAGGAATCCTAGAGAAGTTAGGGAGTGCTTAAAGAGAATTGTCAATTTAGGAACAAAGATACAAAGCACAACTTGAGAAGCCTATTACTCTAAAACTCCTACTTCTGAAGAAATTGTCTTTCATGAGATGATTCAGAATATAAAGCTCCTGGGAGAATCAGGTTTTTAGGAGGAGTCTAAAAAGAAGGGGGGAAAACTAGTCTTCTGTTGAATATTTCAGACACAATACTATTAAGACTAGTTCACATTTACAAAGTGATTATTACAGTGATTAAAATGTTCTAGGCACAGTGGTGACCACTTTACATTTAATCTTCACCAAATATTCTGTAACTGCTATTATTTTCACTTTACAGATTGTTTTGCATAAGTGTTGTGGAGGACAGTGTGAGGTTGAGAGACAGTAAATTTACAGATTTTTGCACTCTTTAAATATAATGTACCTGTAAGAAAAATTTAGTGACAATATTTATGTAAAATAATTTATGCACACTGATATTTAAATCACAATTCTCAGTTATTATTACTTTATAGTTATACAATTATCCAGACAATGATGCACAATACATTTGAATCCACTATATTACGCAAAGGGTTTAAAATACATGAGATAAGTATAGCAATAATTTTAAATCTTTAATTCTGAAACTTTAATTCCTGAATTATAAGGATCTTGAAAACAAGTGTAGTAAAAAAACAATTACTTGCTTTAGGACTTTCTCCGTTGATTATCAGTTCTATCTTTAAAGAACTTTATTTCTAAGAAAATCTATAGAATCGAAAAAAATTTTTGCTAGTGATTCCTCAGAGGACTAATATCTAGAATACATAAAGAACTGAAAAAAAAAGACCCCACAATAAAAGGCGAAGTCAAAAAATGGGCAAGTGAAATGAATATAAACTTCATAGAAGAAGTACAAATGGCCAATAAATACATGAAAAAATGCTCAATGTTGTTGGCCATTAGAGAAATGCAAATTAAAACACTGAGATTGCCTCTCACCCCAGAAAGAATGGCCATCATCAAGAAAACAAATACACTGATACCTCAGTTATCAAATTATTTCGAGCTCGAACTTACCACTATTTGAATAGCAGAGTCAGAAAAAAACATTTACTCAGTGTTTATAACTTTGCTCAATAGTTGAATTGAAAATCTGATTTGAACAAAAAAACCTGTATGGGCTAAGAGTGAGTCAGTCACATTGCTTCTCACCAAGGACACAGGGAGTGACACTTCAGTCTACGCAGGTATCGCTCAGACAACATATAGCACTTGTATTAGTGCCTTAAAACATTTGTCATTGTGCTTTTATTTGCACTTTATTTGCATAAAGTATCATAACCATGGCTCCAAAGAAAGTTAGTGATACCAGCAGTAAAGCTAAAAGGAGAACTGTGAGAACCATGACAGAGTTAAAGTCCTGGAAAAATGAACTTATAGATCTAATTTTTGGCCCTCAGAACCAATTATTTGGTTTTCCATTACTTCTTATGGGAAAAATATGTTCAGTTCTCAAACTTTTCCGTGTTGAAACAGGAATTTGGAATGATTTGAGTTTGACAACCAAGGTATCACTGTAATAAATGTTGGAGAGGTTGTGAGGAAAAAGGAACACTTCCACACTCTTGGTGGGAATGTAAACAAGTACAACCACTATAAAAATCAGTGTGGAGGGTCCTCAAAAACCTGAAACTAGAAATTCCATTTGACACAGGTATTCCCCTTTTGGCTATCTTCTCAAAATCATTAAAAGCATCACATTACAGTGATACATGCATACCCAGGTTTACAGCTACACAATTAATACAGCCAAACCTTAGAAACACCAGTATGGTATTTATACACAATGGAGTACTACTGTGCTCTAGAGAAAGATAAACCGGAGATATTTATAGGAAAATGGATGTACCATGAGACCATGATGTTAAGTGAAGTAAATGAGCCACACAAACTTATATGTTGCATTGTTTCTTTTTTATAAGTAATCCAAAGTATAAATAAAAAGCCAAATAAAAGCTAAATACTAGGATTCAGGCTGATAGATTTTTCTGAAAGGGAGGGGGAATCAAAAGGTGAAGGAAGGGAAAAGGGATGAAAAAAGGGAGTAAGATGTGTCAAGTACATGCACCAACTTCACATAAGGAATATAAATATGTACTACTACAAATATGTACAAAAAGGGGATTAAGAGATGGGAAAAGGCGATAAAAAAGCAATTAAGATGAAGATGTATTTTTGTGCATGTACCAACTCCCCACAAAGAATGGAAACAGGTGCTATACACATATACTAGTAAAAGCTGTCTAGTTTCATTATTTCATTTTTTTTCTACAAGACAGTAATGGGCTTAATGTCACAGTTCTGAGATCTAAGTCTAATATGCTGTCCACCATAAAAGGTAACAGAGAAAACCATTATCCCAAATGTTTTCTCCTAGCTAAGAAGTATTGTTTTTAATTTAATTTAAAAAGTTTTGTTAGTACATGTTTGCAATACAGAATGATTACATTCATTGTGGGGAGATGGTATATATTCAAAACACATTTTCATTCTTTTTCCTTCCCCTGCCCTTGTCCTCTCCTCAGCTCTGACAAATGCCTTTCTGAGTACAGAGGAAAGAGATGATCCGCAAAATGATTTGGGGAGAGACATGGGGGTTTTATGAAAAACCTTTCCCATCTCTCCAGGGCACAAATTACTGATTGATACTCCTTATGAATGACTGGCCTAAGCTCAAGGCACTGAATGGAAAAGATGCTGCTAATAGTTTCCTACTGCATTTCAATCCTCAAAACCTTCCAACTGACTGTTTACAAAGGTAAAGAAAAGTACCCAACACTTAGATTTTTATTTATTTAAAAGTTTCTTGGCATATCATTGCTAACATAAGCTCACAAGTACAACTAGATACTGAATGAGACGTTGATTAAATAGGTTAAAAATGTTCTTTTGTTAAGAGCAGTAGTGACAGAAATGAAGGTTCACCACGTTTTTTTAGCATTTTAATTAAACTTCAGTCTTTCCAGGCCACAAAAATAAATTTTAATTTGAAAAGCAAATGTGAATGCAATGCTAGCAAATGATGAAGATAAAATATTCAAAATGTTTTTCATAGATGTAACAATTATTTAGTACACTAGGTATATCAGGATGAATGTATACCCCAGGAGTATATAATACTATAATTTTCTATTTTTATTTTAACCAATTGGCTTCTAGGTCTGAAGGTCTGATCCTATACAATTAATATTTATTTATATAGTTCACCATTTAGACATTATTTTCATTTAGTTAATAAACATCTGGTAGAGTACTACTTTATGAAAAATCCTAGGCTGACTGAGGCAGAACTTTTGTATAAACTGATTTAGGGAAGATATCAGAATAATATACCACTAATTATAACAAAAATTCAGGCATCTAGAATTTTACTCCTAGGAGACTCATTTTACATAAGAATGACATGAATTTACCAAAATACATACACTGTGCAATGTCCATACAGTTTATTTAATTTGGCATGATATGGAGAATTGTAAGGTATACAGGATTAAAAGCACATTTTGTAAGGTAAAGGTACTTCTGACCCATAGAATTGCAAGCAATTATCCAGCATATTCAGAAATTAGTTCAATATTTAATGGTAAAGATCATCAAACAATTGTAGTTTTTCATTTTAGAATGTTATTCTGGAGAAAAAACTTTCTGAATTCTAACATTATGAACATAATGGAGTTACTGACGAATGATAAAGCCAACAAATTCTCTTCAAATAAGGACAAAATCCCATAGGAAAGGTGAAATGGAAAACTAAAAGCCTGGGCAAATTCTCTCACAATAGCTTCCCTTCTAAGAGCTCTGACATTTATGACAGAAAGTAGCAAAATCTTTTCGCATAAACCTAAAATTTCATTCATCTTCAGTTCTCTGACCTTTTAAAAATGTATAATCATTATGCATCTTTTTACTCACTTTAATTTTTACTTTGAACTCTTGAATAATTTTTTATATGAGGTGGAAAGTAATATGCTTAAAAATACCATTTGTCTTCATTCAAACTGTTTGTCTTTACTTACAGAGCACCATCTCAAAGGCAAAATGCAATGCAAGTGTTTTATGTGTATGAAGATGGCTGCACCAGTAACAGTTATCTTGAAATATGGTGGCAGCCTACAATCATGGACATCAGTTCAGCTGAATGTAAACACCCATTTGTTTCTCAGAATAAGATAAATAGCAACATTTTAAATAACTTGATGCAGATTTGGCTTAATTCATCAGGTTTGTTTTAAAACTGGAACTGATTCATTTCTTAACATTTCAGATGACAAACATTATCAAATTATATTAGCAAACAGAAAAGCAATCCATTGCCACTGTTTTTGATTATCTGAGTGTTTCCTTAAAAAGGGAAAAGAGAAAACCCATAAAACCACAGAAGCAGTCAAAGCCTTTAAACCAAAGCTTAGATAAAATAATTCATTATAACTTATATCTGGAATTGGTAGCATTACATAGCTTGTCAATATTTACCAGTAAAGAAAAATAGCAAAAATACTTTCACAGGTTTCCATTTCCCTACGGTAGGTTGAGCATGCCTTCTGAAAGGCATGGCGGTGGTATTTGAAAAATATCTGATTTCAATTTGGATCTGAGGAACCTACGAGGCATCTTCATTCACCACACTCTATTAATAAACCATGCTGATTGTACCTACTAAATAGTCTTTAATTTTACATCTGTTTTCTATCTCTATTGTAGTAAAGCATTTCTAACATTTTGCCTCATACTCTAGATCTCCCTGGTCTTGTCTGTTTAAACTGTTAGGGAAAAAAAAAAACCTAAGAAAAAATCTTAATGATCATTTAATTCCTGCTACGTTAGGGCCTGAGAAATTAAGATAAATACATTCATAAAAATCTGCTATAATGACAGGGAAAACAAATTCATTATTAGCAATGAATATCTCCTAGTTCATCTATTAAGAATTGAGGAAGAGGGGAAAGAGGATAGAAGGGAAAAAAGGGAGTAAAGAAAGAGGGAAGAAGAAAAAAATCTGCACATTCAAATAACAATGTAGCTGGAGAAGCAAGATAACTCATTCAAGAAGAGATGTACTTTAGATCTAGAATGTTCCTTCAAGGCCCTTCATACAATGGCTTGGTCCCTGGTGAGACACTCCTGGGAAGTGACTAAACCTGTAAGAGGTGAGGTGTGGTGAGAAGCTTTAAGTCACTGGTAGCATAACCTTAAAGAAGACTCTGGGACTCTATGTCTTCCCTTCTTCTTCGTCGTCTTCTTTTTTTTGGGGGGGTACAGGTATTGAACTCAGAACTTCTCATGTTCCAGGCAGACACTGAGCTGCTGAGCTAAATTCCCAGGTCCTCTTCTATGTTTTGCAAAGAAGCCATGAGGTGAGAAGCTTTGCTCTTTTTGTGCATCTAGCCATGATGTGCTGCCAGAGCACAGAACCATCATGGACTGAAACCTCAAACTAAGAGCCTAAATATTTCTTCTGATAAGGTGACATCTTGGATATTTTGATGTAGTAATGGAAAACTGATGGCAAGATAATAATACAGAAGATAAAGTACAGATAAGAGGAGTACACAAAAGGAGCAAAACCTGATGCTTCTGGATTAGGATATCAGCATGGTCTCTGAGGACAGTCAGAGATACAAAGGTTGAGAAGAGGGATATAATCATCCTACAAATGACTTTAGTTCTTTTCCAAATTTTAGTTTTAAATATCTTAGTTTCAGAGAGTGGGTCAGCAAAACATGGTATATGAACCAAACCTGGTCTACTTTATTATATTGTTTTGAATAAAATTTTATACTCCTTTACATATTTTCTATAGCTACTCTAATGGCAGAGGTAACTATGACATAGACCACATAACTTAGAAAGCTAACAATATTTAGAGTCTCCAAAGTTGCTGGCACTTCCCTTCCATCCAGGGCCAGGAGGAAGTAGAAAGCCAACAATATTTAATATTTGGCCCTGAAGAAAAAGTTCTAGTCCAAAGGTTCATTTATTTTGTCTGATCCACTTATACTGTAAGTTAAAACCATGCATCCATTTTGTAGATATGTTCAAAAGCAATGAAGTCTTAAGAACTCCACCCAAAAAACCTCTTGAATTACTAATTTCAGTGATGTAGCAGAATACAAAATTAACACACAAAAACCAATAGCATTTATGTACATCAAAAATGAATTAAAAAAGAAATTAAAACAATAACATTTATGGTAGCACTGGGAAAAATAAAAAATCTAGGTACTAATCTAACCAAAGAAGTAAAAGACCTCTACAAAGAAAACTGTATTACTCTGAAAAAGGAGACTGAAGAGGACATCAAAAAATGGAAAGATGTCCCCTGCTCCTGGATAAGCAGAACCAATATTGTCAAAATGGCCATACTCCCAAACTTTTATAAAAATTCAATACAATCCCAATAAAAATACCAACAGCATACTTCACAGATCTAGAGAAAATAACCCTAAGACCATATGGAACCAGAAGAGGCCCAGATAGCAAAAGCAACCTTGGGCAACAAGAGCAAATCTGGGGACAGCACAATACTGGACTTCAATCTATACTACAAAGCAACAGTGATTTAAAAAAAAAAAGTCATGATGCTGGCACAAAAAACAGACATGTGGATCAATGTAACAAAACAGAGGGTAAAGACACATCTCCAGACACATTCGGCTATTTGATCCTTGACACATGAGGCAAAACATATGATGGAAAAAAGACAGCCTAGTCAACAAGTGGCGCTGGGAGAACTGGCTATCTGTTTGTAGAAGGTTGAAGCAGGGTCCATATTTCTCACGAGGTACTAAACTAAATTCAAAATGGATCAAATATCTAAACATTAAAACAAACTTTGAAGCTGTTGAAAGACAAAATGGGTAAAACACTTGAAGTCACAGGTGTAGGAAAGGCTCTTCTAAACACAACTGCAACTGCACAAGATGTAAGACTGAACAAGTAGGATTGTATCAAATTAAACAGCAATGGAATCATTCAGAAGAATGAAGAGACAACCTACAGAATGGGAAAAATATTTGCCAGTTACTTCTTAGAGGAACAATATCTAGAATATACAAAGAACTAAAAAAAAAAAAAAAAAAAAAAAAAAAAAAAAAAAAAAAAAAAAAAAAAAAAAAAAGACAAAAAAAGAAAAAAAAAGACCACCAAAACTAAGAGACACAGTCAAGAAATGGGCAAGTAAAATGAACAGACACTTCTCAGAAGTACAATAGTCAACAAATTTATGAAAAAAATTCAACATCTCTAGCCATTAGAGAAACACAAAATAAAACGTATTCCATCTTACACCAGAAAGAATTGTGGTGGTTAGTAAGAAATCGAAGAATAACAAATGCTGGTGAGGCTGTGGTGAAAAAGGAACCCTCCTTCATTGTTGATGGGAATGTAAACTAGTACAAGTATGGAAATCAGTATGGAGTGTAGGAGACATCCCTGTCCAGAACTAGTGGGCTATGAGTGGCACAGCTACTTGCCTTCCTGCAGAGCACTGTAATATTCACAGCCAAATCAGGCTGTGAAGTTTAATAGAAGTGAGTTTTGCCAAAGCCTACATGCTGAGGTCAGAGTAACTCACATCCAAATTCTGTTCCCACAATCAAAATCTTCAGGCTAGAAAGACAATGTCCTAATTACAATCATATATTTTGTCTATTCTGTTCTTAATTTGAGAATGCTTTGTCTTGTCCATTATGAGCCTTGTTTACATTAATTTCCATAGGAACCACACATTGCCTTTACCCCAATTGATTGCCAATAAAAGTCAGTGCCTGGGACTGTCCAGGGCCTTTGCTGATTGCACCAGTATTGGTCGTCCTGGCACCCTACTTTCTCTCTGTTCTGTCTCTTAGTGTATTGTTTTTCTCAGGCCTGCATTGCACACTGGGTAGGTGGGTACTGGAACCTGACTGCAGGGGTCTCCAGTACCTTCCCTAATTCAGCTATACTGTTTTATATCAGGAGTCAAACTGAAGCCCTGTGGGACTCAAACGGGCATGTCAGCTAGCAGAGTTGGGCTAGTATTGCTCCTTTGCTAGTGGCGGTCACCACCAAGGTCTAAATCCTGGTCAGTGAAGTGGCAGGGCCCTGCTAGGTTATATGCAGCTGAGGTCAGCATGATTCCAGTTATAATCCTTTCCCCTGAATGAATGCTTTTCACTAACCTTGTGGGTTACTTTCTAATTGTACCTGTCCCACTACTGGTTTCTTCTATCCTATCTATGCCTACTCCCTGACAACTTTGCCTGGCACCATCATGCCAGGTATTCGGCAGTAATTTACTAGATGACTACAAAGCATAACCTACTCCCTATTCCTTCCCACAATTGTATTCAATAAATACCGGATGTACTTCGGGGCCTTTGTCTTTGCTGCCATCAGCAGCACTAACCAGGACCCAAGACTCAGCTTTTCCACTCTAAATCTCATTTCTGTCTGTTCTTGAATTCACCTTGCACTGTGGTGGCTCACAGGCCAGGACCTATGGTAGAGGTCCTGATAACACCCCTTTTCCTGCTTCGTACAATGGAGATTTTTCAAAGAAATAAAATTAGAAATTCCATATGACCCAACTATTCTTTTAGGTGTATTCACCAAATAGCTAAAGACACACTATAGTGATATATGTATGCCAAGTTTTACAGAAGCACAATTTACAATAGCTAAATCCTGAAAGGACCCAGTATACCCATCAACAGATGAATGGATAAAGAAAATGTGCTACCTATACATAATGGAATGCTACTTGGCTATAAAGAAGATAAAGTCAAGACTTTCATAGGAAAATGGATACTCTGGAAAATATAATGTTGAGTGAAATAAACAATTCACACTTGCTTAAATACCATAGAGTACCTCTCATTTGGGTAAGGTAAAGAACAAAGAGAATAGTAAAGGATGGACAGAAGAAAACAGAGGATAGATATCTTGCAAATGGAAAGGGGTCCAGGAGACTGAGGGTGAAGGGAGAAGGGAGGGAAAAGGAAATAAGTACAATGTACAGAGACCTATTAACCACAATGAATGTACACATATGTCATAAACATAAGCTAAGAAGGATAATTACAAGAAGAATGAAAATGGGGAAAGGAGACTTAGTAGTTCACAAAGGGAGGGAGGTGGGAAAGGGAAGAGGGATAAAAAAACCAACTGTATTATGTTTATGTACCCACTCCCCAAGATGAAGGTAAGCATCATGTACTACAAACATGTGCTTATAAAAAGGGAAAAAAAGCAATGAGGTCTTGATATTAGCATATGAAAAATGAGGAAAACTGTACCATTTAATGTCTTCATTAAATGCAATCATTTTTAAAAAGTTTACCTATCTACTTAAATATTTGCAGTGTTGCACAATTGAGAAGTGATAAATGCA